TTTAACCTTGGTTAAAACCGGCAGAGCTCGCTGCATTCCTCTGTCCGAGATACGCCTCCTACACACGGTTATAATAAACCCATGAGCGCCGTTATAACGCCTCGTGTGGACAGCACTGCACACACCTCCATCCATCCCCTGAGCGTGTACGCGCCTCATGATGAGAGCCGGAGTGAGACGCAGCGTGTGGAGGCCCCCGCGCAGCCCTTTCGGTCCAAGCACACCTTGGGTTGCCTCACGGGCAGCGCAGGAATGCATACTTCCACGTACCCAAAACATCATGCCAAAACACAGGAAATAGCCTTTGGATATTTCCTGGCTCCTCGCATTTTTTGTGTATAGAAGGCTGGAGCCACTACACAGAGGAGTAGATTTTTTCATTATCACTGGCCCCACCATTGTAACCACTGGCCCAAGAGAATTCGTCCAAAAAAAATCGACTCTAATAATGAAGAAAATGAACACATTTGTTGCAATAGTAATTTATTTACAAACTACATTACTACTATACTACAACATTTCAATCGTCAGTTCTTCCTCATTTTCCTCCTCGGTCGGTTGATTTTGCCGTCCTCCTGATGACCAGGCTGTAAATCCTGGACGTCTGGCTCTTGACCCCGACTGCCACCACTGCAAAACAGCTCTCTTAGCATCAAAGGTATCCAGACTAGGCCCTTCAATGGTCAGGAACATGAGACGAGTGAGATTTTGGGTCGACAGTGAGGACCTCCAGTCGCTCTTCACCCTCTTCATGCAAGAGAAGCCTCTCTCACATGCTGCGGTACTGATAGCCATTGTTAGGTAGATCTGGGCAAAGATGCCTAGGTTCTTAAACTTGGTCTGTAGATCACCTCTCTGGAGTATTTCAAGGAGAGTGTCTCTGAGGGGCCCATTCCGCATTCTTGCCCAGATTTTATAGAGCCTGTACTCTCCCAACACCTCAGTGACTGTGGTCCCCTCACGCACCAGGATGCTCTGGTAATGGTGGCACAGGGACTCAATATTTGCTCGTCCATGGAGGACAAAGGCTTATTTGGACTCATCTGAGTTGTTCAGTTTTGGCCACACATTATGATCAAGAGCTGAGAATGTTTGCACAATGCTCTCGGTAGACAACAGGTCTCCCAGACGGCTCTCAATATGTTTGGTAAGCATGTCTGTAATTTCCTTCCTGTCTGTAGCCAGTGTGTCTGTGGTGGTGTTTTTGAGCTCTACCCCTCTATAGGTGCCATTCATTGCATCAGCCAACATCTTCCTTTGCTGCTCTCCGGGCTCCAGACACAGCTCGGTAAGGCCATTGAGGCAGGCCTCAATGTACTGCACTGCCTCCCCTGGTGTCAGACTATCCTGCTGAAACTGGAGGCTCAGTGCCTTGAGAAAGTCCAGTCTATCCAGCAGGAAGTGCATGAACTGGACATTGGTGTGGCTTTTGAGGTAGTGGAGGATGTTCTTTGCCCTTCCCATCACTGCAGGTGAAGGTCGGGTTGTCCTCTCTGGGCTGACCTGGTCCTCAAAGTGGGCCACAAAGATTGCATAGCTATTACACAGGATCTGTGTTGCCTTGTGGATGTAGGGCAACCACCTGGACCCCTTCAGGTTTGTAGGCTTGAGGACCTTCTCCTCCATTGCATCTGCCAGCATCCTGAGCTCCCTCAGTGCCTTTGGAGAGTAGTGGTATTGCTGATGCAAATATTGCAGCACCTCCTGCAGCTGCTTCAGCCTCTGATTCTCTTTTATTGAATCCACCAGACCTAATTCCAGCCTGTGTGCCACACAGTGTATAGCAAGCAGGTGTCCAATCTCTTCCTTCAGCTTTGCAGCCACACCATTCCTCTTCCCCAAATTGACAGCCGCACCATCAGCGCATAGGAAAACCACCTTTTCCTTCCAGTTATCCAGACCTGCTTTTTCAAACACTGTCTGTACTGCAGAAAGTACACCATCTGCATGTGCGTTTTTGACATCCTCAATGCCAAGGAAGGACTGAACCACTCCTCTCTCCTTATTGAAGATCTTGACATAGACAATCTCATTCTCAAGGTTCCCAGTATCAGTTGCCCCGTCAATCATCACACTGATATAGCCTGCATTCTTTAGGTCAGAAAGCAGTTGCTCCCTCTCCACATTGTAGATATCAATTGTGAATCTGAAGGTAAAAAAAGGGAATTTCATTAATAATGAAGGAATTGTAAAAAGTTAATTAAATAGTAAATTTGGAATGTACAGTATTAATGTATTTGTGATTCTCACCTTAAACATGCCTTGTCTGACAAGTAACAATTGGTCATGTTGGAGCCAGTCCTACTGTTGAGCTGCACCAGGTCCGGAAAGTCAGTAAATGGCTTTTCTTTCTTGACAACATAGTACGCTGTATGAAACATATTCTCCATTTTATCCTGGAAACCTGCATCTATTTCACCATTAACATGAATCCCAGCTAACACAGCGGGTGTTTTGATTGCTGCCTTCTGCCTCCTCACACACACCTGGTGTGAGGTGCTTTTTTCATGCGGGTCAAACCCTGTGGAGCATTCTGCTACCTGGCCCTTGAAGAGTGGAGAGTCCCTAAACAAGCAAAACAATCTGCTGCTTAAATATCATATGTAAATAGCCACTAGCTAGCCACTAACTAGCTAGGCCTACTATACATTTCTATAAAGCAATTGTTCATATTTGGTTTATTAAAATAATTATATTGTGGTCATTTTTAAAATAAAATAAAAAGGAGGGTGACACTATGGTATGAGTATTATTATGTGTATAATGCGCTTTCTGCCTTCCTGTCATTATCAGGAGTTAGACATGTAATGGCTATAATATATTAGCCTCTAGCCTTCCTTGTCCTAAACTGCTGGGACATTTCCCTATAGCGAATATACCATAATATTTTCTACTCTTCACTTACTTGTCAGCATAGGTCGGCATTGATGTACAGAGCCGACAGAAGACCTTGTTTATATTGGCATCATATTCAAGCCAACTCCAACGATCAAGCCAGTGTTCCGCCTCTTCCGGCGACCGCCCCTATGGTGGTTGCTTTCCCGGCTTCTGTGCTCAGGAGTCGTGGTGGCCGGCCTGTCGTTCCTCCTCACTGCACAGACTTTGTTTATGGGTAAATTCTGGGGGTGCTTGTGTGGGGGCACATTATGGGACATAATTAACTGTGGTATTATTGTGTGCTGCAACACGGACCAGTGTGTGAAGGTACCGTGTGTAGGTTGTCATACTAGTTTTACATGTAGTAGCAAGCAGATGTACTTACCTTATGTTCATGCTAATGGAAAATAAAGTCTGGAGTTCCATACTGAACACACCGCCTCTGACTCCCTTTCATCGGCTCTACAGTTGATACAAAAAAGCCTAATAACTTATTTACATAACAAGCTTGAAATAGACCCTTCATATTTCATGTTATTATGATCACTCTTAGACTTCTGTTTTTAAGGGATGAGCTGCCAACAAGATAAATGAAACCCTATAGAGAGCTGTGATGTACAGTAGTCGGGTTTTTTCTTAAAGCATATTAATGTATCGAGGCGACGTTATCAACAAAAACGTACATCAAAACAAGTGGCGCTAGGTAGCCCACAACGCTAACATGGCTTACCTTCGTCTTGTTCTGGTCTAAACTCGTCTTCAATGGCATTAAAACGATAAAAACGATGCTGTAGTTAATCCATAGGTTAATCCAATGTGACTGCGTCCCCTTTGAAATGTTCTGATAATCCATAAGCAATAAAACAGCTTTTCCGTTGCTTGAAAGCAGCGATATTTCTCCCCTCTGCTGCAAGCTAGGATGCGCAGAGACGCTACCTTTTTTTTTTAACATGAGTGTGTGTGGGACGATTTCCCTTGGATTCTATTGGCTCTAACGGTCAGAAAGAGATGTCACATGTCAAAATCGAACAAGGGGGGCCAGAGATAAGGAAAATCCACCCAAATGGCCACAGAAGAGGTTTTTTTTGCTAAATCTGTCTAAAAAGGCCAAATATCACTTATTTTGCATCAATCTTGATACAGGGTACTTATTATATGTTGTACTTTGGATTCCTAAAGCTTTTCGTCTACTAACCCATCATCCAAGGTTAGTTTTCACTATAAGTACAAAATATTATTTGGACGGACACTATAATTTACAGTTTTTTACCATGTTCAATCTGAATTTTCTTTAAAATAAAAAACACATCTATATTGATTCTGACTTTTCTACATCTAACTCACAGGTTTATCATTATTTTGAGAAAAAAGATTATTAATTTAACCCTTTTAGAAGGGAAGATATGGTCATTTGTTCTGGGAATGTCATTTTCGAGCCTGAAACCTGAAAAACAGGCTTGGGGCCTAACAGGTTAACAGGTTGAATACCAACCAACTATGTGCTATATGTGCAATATATATTTATGCCGTTAATAACTGTGCAATATATACCTGGCTGCTAAACTCTAAAAACTGTTACAGGATGTGTATTTTGTAAATTGTCTTTTTTAAATTATTTTCTTAATTATATTATAACTTTTTGTTTTTACTTTAATACTTTTGGCAAATAATCAAGAAAAATCATAAATAAAACACTGACAGGGAAAATGTTATAGCAGTATAATTTATTTTACATAAGAAGGTGTTAATTTCTGTTAATACCTGCGTACTTTTACTTAAATAAGGTTTGAATGCAGGATTTTTATTTGTAATAGAGTATTACCATTCTATAGGCGTAGTGTATCTGTTAACGATGCCAAATACAATTCATTGTTTACATTGCAGCTAGTGCTAAACCAGAAGAAAACCTCCTTTTTCATTTGTAACTCGAAGTGGAAAGGCGTTGGGCTACATAAGGTGAATTGAGACAACAAAAATAGGTGGGACTAAGAAAGATAATATGAAAGTGTAAAAACAAAAGCATTAATTAGGGCTGCAAAATGTCTCCCATTGTAATGGTGATTACATTTTTAAATGCTAACACTTAACAGTTTTTTTCTGACTGCGTTTCCTGTTTTCTGCAGATGTCCAGCTGCTGGTGGAGGTTAAAGAAGAGGTTCTCCCTGACCAGCAGGAGTGGAGCACCAGTCTGGACCAGGAGGACCCAGATCCCCTCCCACACATTAAGCAGGAACAGGAGGAACTCAGGATCAGTCAGGAGGGATATCAGCTTCAGGAGCTGGAGGAGGCTGATATCACCAAGTCCACTTTCACTCCTGACTCTGTGAAGAGTGAAGATGATAAAGAGAAACCTCAGTCCTCACAGCCTCCTCAAAGACAAACTGAACACATGGAAACAGAAGCTGATGGAGATGACTGTCGAGGACCAGAACCAGCCAGGAACTCAGATCCAGAGAGTAGTTTACAACCAAAGACTGAGGACGACACTGGAGACTCTTCTGAACCTGACACTGAAGACAGTGCTGATTGGAAAAAGACCAGAGAACCTGCGTCAGGCACAAACTCACTGAAAAATAAACATGAATCTGTCAGTGATTCAAGCCGTAGTATTGAAAATAAACCATTCAGCTGCTCAGTCTGTAAGAAAGCTTTTTCACAGAGTAGGAATGTAAAGGCACACATGAGAATCCACACAGGAGAGAAACCATTTAGCTGCTCAGTTTGTGAGAAAGCTTTTTTACGGAGTGAATATTTAAAGGCACACATGAGAATCCACACAGGAGAGAAACCATTTAGCTGCTTAGTTTGTGAGAAAGCTTTTTTACGGAGTGGACATTTAAAGGCACACATGAGAATCCACACAGGAGAGAAACCATTTAGCTGCAAAGTTTGTGAGAAAGCTTATTCACGGATTGAACATTTAAAAACACACATGAGAATCCACACAGGAGAGAAACCACACAGCTGCTCAGTCTGTAAGAAAGCTTTTTCACAGAATATAGATTTAAAGAGACACATGAGAATCCACACAGGAGAGAAACCACACAGCTGCTCAGTCTGTAAGAAAGCTTTTTCACGGAATATAGACTTAAAGAGACACATGAGAATCCACACAGGAGAGAAACCACACAGCTGCTCAGTCTGTAAGAAAGCTTTTTCACAGAATACAGATTTAAAGAGACACATGAAAATCCACACAGGAGAGAAACCCTTTAGCTGCTCAGTTTGTACCAAATCGTTTGCATTGTGTGGACATTTAAAAAAACACATGCAAATCCACACTGGAGAGAAAGCACACAGCTGCTCAGTCTGTAAGAAAGCTTTTTCACAGAGTGGACATTTAAAGACGCACATGAGAGTCCATACAGGAGAGTAAATATACAGCTGCAATGTTTGTGACAAAATATTTAAATGGCGTAATGATTTCAAAAGACACAAGTGTGTTGGTCGTCAGTCCTCACAGCTTAATGAAATTCAAACTGAGGATAACAGAGGCAGAGCCTCCAATCATCAGCTCAGCTGAACACATGGAAACAGAAGCTGATGGAGGACAATGAATAAGTCTTATGACAGTTCACACATGAGAAAAATCTGTCTGACTGGATTAACAATGTTGCACAATATTCCTATGCGACTTAAATGAACTCCATCTTTATAAACATAAGTGGACAATATGTTTAATGTTTTTGTTATACTGATTTTCTGATACGTTAACTACTGACTGTTGATGAACCATTTTTATTTTGGATTGAGGGCTCCAAGTTTCCATATAGAGATATAGGATGATTTGATGTATTGTTCTTTATTTCTAAATGTTTTTTATCATTGCTATCCTGTTAATGAGCCCTGTTTCACATACATGTACCTGTTATCTGATTGTTTTTGCTTCTGTAACTGTAAGGGAATACATTTTCCTATTTTGTATCCTGATGACCTAATGCCGTTACATGTAATACGTCAGTGTTTCCCAACCGGGGGTACGTGGGTGGTCCCCAGGGGGTACGTGAAAAGATTTTGAAAAGTAAAACAAAAAAATAATAATTTGATTTTAGATTTTTTTTAATTAAAATTTTTACAGGAAAACTGTCCCCGAATAATGCATAATCTGTAATAATGTAACTAAAATTGGGGGCATTCAAATTAAGTAATCACGTGCTGGCTATATATTATTATTGCCGTGGCGTTCAGCTTCCCGCCGGACTGTCAGGTGTTTCATCATCATCATCATCATCATCATCATCATTGTAGTGGCGCGCTGGTTTTCTTGCTAGCTAGCAAAATATCAACATCCTATCAAGTGAATGCGCTGGTGTTTATTGAGATCAAAATTTCTGCTAACATAATCATTATGGATCAATGGCTGAGTCGAGCTGGTTCATCCAGAAACAACAGCACAGGTGATACTGCTGAATCAGGAGAACCCGTTCTCAAGAAAATGAAAACAGAGTAGGTGAAGAATCGTCAGTTTGGTGAACATTATGTGCTCTCCGGGTTTACGGTAACAACTACAGAGCCACCGCAGCCAATGTGTTTCATCTGTGGCGACGTGCTTTCTAATAATAGCATGAAACCATCCCATTTACATCGGCACCTTAGTACTAGACATCCCGCCTGTGTGGGTAAGTCTGCAGAGTTTTTCCACCAAAAGCTGGCTGAATTTAAGGGAAGCCAAGAAAAACTAAAGAAAGCGACATCGGTCTCAACCAAGGCCTTGGAGGCATCTTATGCCGTGTCGCTACTCGTTGCTAAATCGAAAAAGCCATTTACCATAGCCGAAGAGCTAATCTTGCCTGCTGCTATAATTCTCGCAGAAACTATGCTCGATAAGAAAGCAGCTGATGTCCTGAAGAAAGTGCCGTTGTCAAATAATACTGTGTGCCATCGGATCGACGACATGGGAATTGACATTATTGACCAAGTGGTGGAAAGATGTAAAGCGTCTGGTACGTTCGCTTTGCAGTTGGACGAATCAACGGATGTCAGTGGGGAAGCACAATTGATTGCGTTTGTGCGTTACAAAGACACTTTGGAGATGAACGAGCACATTCTGTTTTGCAAGAAACTCACGGGGAGAACTACCGGACAGGACGTTTTTAACGTTATTTACCATTTTTTCTCTCAACACAAGCTGGATTGGAAATCCTGCTCTCATGTGTGCACAGACGGCGCTGCGGCGATGACCGGCAGAGTAAATGGATTAATGGCCCACATAAAAAAGGTAAACCCTGACGTTACATGGACGCACTGCATGATTCACAGAGAAGCATTAGCTAGCAAGAGAATGAGTCCAGAGTTAAACAATGTTTTGAATGATGCCGTAAAAGTGATCAACTTCATACAGTCCAGGCCTTTGAATCATAGACTGTTTCAGTCACTTTGTGAAGACGGTGGGTCAGAACATAAACAGCTCCTGCTTCACACTGACGTCCGCTGGTTATCCCGAGGGAAGACGTTACAGCGGCTGTTCGAGCTACGCAATGAAGTGAGGGCATTTCTGTCGGAGCACACCCACCCACTTGTGGCTATGTTTGACGACGCTGACTGGATAGCTCGGCTGGGATACCTCTCTGATATTTTGAGCAAACTCAACCAGCTGAATCTCTCTCTTCAAGGTAAATACACAAATGTTCTTAGCTTGTATGACAAAGTGTGTGGATTCATGGAGAAGATCAAGCTCTGGCAGAGCAAATGTGAAAAAGGGGATACAAGTTGTTTCCTGCAGCTGAACGCATACATTGCTACTGGTGAATGTGACAGAGCTCCAATTGTGAAAATAGTACACACACATTTGTCCAAGCTCAATAATGAGTTCAACTCCTACTTCCCTGATATTGACAACAAGTCATCCACACTGGACTGGGTGCGTAATCCATTTGTGACGTGCATTAACAGCAGCATTCCCGCCAGACTGCAAGAACACCTCATAGATGTGTCCTCAGATAGGAGCCTGAAGATGAGGTACTCAAGCACACCACTGACACAGTTCTGGTGTGGTGTGGAGAAGGAGTATCCTGAATTGGGGAAACATGCCCTGAATGAACTGTTGCCTTTTGGGTCCACATACCTGTGTGAGGTGACATTCTCCGCCATAACCCACATCAAGACTAAACACAGGAACAGACTCAACTTGGAGAATAACCTGGTCACTGCTGTTGCAAAAATCTCCCCCAGACTCACAAAACTGATGAGGGAGAAACAGGCTCAAGTGTCACATTAATTGGTGAGTTATCTTACTTTTTAAAAAAAGTCTTTAAACAATGGCTATTATAATGTATATGATTAGTTATGATTGAATATGATTTAAGTGTCACATTAATTGTCGCATTGGGTCACACAGACAAAAATATCCTCCTCTTCTCTATCTCTCCTCGTCACTTCTCTCCTTCTTCCACTCCCAGGTTTCACCTTAGCTACACACAGGGCTGTATCCAGGCCCCGCCCCCCGGCCCGGGTCTGATATGTGCTGCACACACACACACACACACACACACACACACACACACACACACACACACACACACACACACACACACACACACACACACACACACTTGATTATTACGGTATGTGGTTATTATATCCTTCTCACATTTTTCTCATCTTTTTATATTCAGATCTAATTCTATATTTCTTTCTTTCTGCTATTACCCTGCCCATACCTATACCCCCCTCCCCCATGCTGCTATGACACCCACATTTACCCAAGGGGATCAATAAAGGAACATCTCATCTGATTGTATCACATCGTATCGTATCGCATCGTATCTCATCTTATCTTATCTTAGTTTTGTAGCAGATTCTTCAGTGCTTTGTTAACTTAATGTTACAATGGGAATGATGATGTCAGACCTCAGAACTAAAGCTTTACTTCAATAAACTGCCAACCTGTGTGACCATGTGACTTTATCCAGGTCATCCACACACACACACACACACACACACACACACACACACACACACACACACACACACACACACACACACACACACGGTCTGCCACAATATATATAGACTATTCATATATCTTGGGGATCACCACGATTGATTGCATAGTAGGGGGTACTTTAGGTTGGCTTGAAATGCTTTGGGGGTACAGTACTCAAAAAAGGTTGGGAACCACTGTAATACGTTACTTGGCCCTGTCACACACCAGAGACGCACTGCTGGCACTCCGTGCTGCGGGAAGCCTCCCACCCGCCGACCTGCCGGAGGACATACGATCCACTGCTCTGAGGAGACGTCTCCGTAGAAGGGGGAGGAGTACGGCAGCGCCTCAGACGGAGAGGCAACAGGCCGCCTTTACCCTCCATGATACTCAGTAATGTGAGGTCGCTACGGAGGAAAATGGATGAGCTGCGGATCAACGCTACAGCCTGTTTCGAGTACCGTGAGTCGTCCATTATGGTGTTTTGTGAGACATGGCTTCATCAGGATGTTCCCGACTCTTTGTGTGAACTGGAGGGTTTTTCACTCATCCGCTCGGACAGGAGTGAAACGTCGGGGAAAGGCAAAGGTGGGGGCATCTGTGTATTTATCAATGACAAGTGGTGCAGACAACACACTTTGCGTAAGACTATCTGCAGCCCCGACGTTGAACTTATGTGCTTGAGCCTAAGACCCCTGTACCTGCCTAGAGAGTTTGGGAATATCATTCTCTGCACTGTTTATATTCCACCCAGCGGGAACGCAGCAAGTGCAGCAGCTCAAATAGCAGACTGTGTTCACCAGCAGCTACTACACACTCCTGACGCTCCGGTTTTCATTCTAGGGGACTTTAATCACTGCAAACTTGAACTGTCACTACCCAGTTTTCAGCAATACGTTACATGTGAGACCCGGGGAGATAAAATTCTAGACAAATGTTACGGAAATGTGAACAACGCCTATGTGAGTAGAGCCAAACCCCCGCTTTCGAACTCGGACCATAACACTGTTCATCTAATACCTACCTACAAAACGGTTCTCAAGCGAAGTAAACCACAGACCAAGACTGTAAAGGTTTGGACTAGTGACAGCATAGAGTCTCTTAAAGGATGTTTTCTCTCTACTGAGTGGAGTATCTTTCATGAGATGGACGTGGATAATGCTACTGAGACGGTAACTGACTATATACAATTCTGTGTTGACAATGTGATACCTCAGAAAGAAATAACTGTGTACCCCAACAACAAACCATACATAACTAAAGAGGTTAAGGACTGCATAAATCGTAAAAATATAGCTTTTAAAAACCGGGATAAAACGCAACTGAAATGTGTGCAAAAGGAGCTCAACCACATGCTCAGAGAAGCTAGAAGGAGACATAAGGACATTATAGAACAAAACTTTTCTACAATGAACTCCAAGGAACTTTGGGACACTATGAAGGCAATCACAAATATGACCCCAGCTAAAAAAACTCTCTGTACCTCTGATGACCTGCAAAAAGCAAATGAACTGAATGACTTTTACATGAGATTTGAAACCCAGGACTTCTCCTCTGAATGTACAGACATCGTAGAGACAATCCCTGCTAGTGACCAGGATGAAAGGGTGGTGATTGACCCTTTAAAGGTCCAATCACTTTTCAAACACACCTGTACTAAGAAGGCCACAGGGCCAGATGGCATCTCTGCATTCCTCCTCAAGACATTTGCAGAAGAACTGACACCAGCATGGTGTCCCATATTTCAAAAATCTGTTGATCTTCACACCATCCCCACCCTCTGGAAAAAATCAATAATAAAACCTGTCCCCAAAAAACCTTGTCCAAAGGTAAACAATGATTTTAGGCCTGTTGCATTGACATCCATTGTCATGAAATGTTTTGAGAGGATCATGGTGCCGCTGCTAAAAATGGAGGTTGATGTACATTTAGACCCTTTTCAGTTTGCCTACAAGCAAGGGCGTGGCACAGACGATGCTCTAAATAGCATCACACACCTGGTCACTAAACACCTGGAAGACCCTAAGGCATATGTACGCCTACTGTTTGTGGATTTCAGCTCGGCTTTTAACACACTGCAGCCTCACATCTTGCTT